AGAAGGAAACGCATTAACAATTATGACGTCCCAGCTATGCGGCAGGAGGATAGTCATCCCTACGGTGTTCCTATCGGACCATCTGGTTTGTAACATCAATCTTCTTTTAGTGTACACATGTACAATTTTGAGAGACCCAATTATTAATAATTGAAAAATATCTGATTTTATGAAAGTTTAAATTCAAGTTAAAATACTCTACTGGCAGATATATTTAATTTTACTGTTGATTCCTTTTCGTGAAAATAAATTATTATCATAAAAATATAATACTCTGCTTTAAGGCATATATAAATAAATAAATAAATATATATATATATATGCAACAACAAAAATTAGCTTAAATTAAAAGTTATTTGATGGGAATGTAGGACATAATAGCAAAATTTATAAACATCAGCTTAGGGAGATGCCTAATTTTATTGGCAACGGCAAAGTTTAAAAGTTTCAAATAAATAGAAATAATATGTAATGGAAATTTTGTGCATCTTTAACAGTTTTGTTGACCTATAAATGTTTTTTGACGTACCCTTGTATTTAATGGTGTAGAGCATTGAGGTGTAACGACAGCACTAAGAATGGGTTGCCATCAAGTTTAAACTATGTTGGCAAGATTTGGAGAAATTATGTTTTAGGTCTTACAAACTTAAATATAAAGCTGAACAAATGTATTTAAAACGTTGACTTAGTTATAAAATATACAGTTGGTCAGATCAAGAAATATTAATTTTATTTTTAATTATGACTGTGTATTCCTTCACTATCAGAAGTCCCACACTACAGCCACATAAATGGCAATTTGGAAGTAAGTCATGGTGACGATGGCTATCTCGAGCCCACAGTTGTCTTCCCCAGACAGGAACAGGCAGTTGTGTATGAAGAGCTTAATCTCTAATTATAGATTTTTCTAAATGGATGTAAAAAATAATTTGGAAAAGATGATCTGCACCGTAAAATACATCGAAAGAAAACAATTTTAAAAATTACTATTTATAACGCAGGCTTTTCCCAAAATTTACAAAAAATTATAAAATATATGCTTTCCAAACTTAAGGTTTGTTATAGTAATACATTTTTTTAAAGCTTGGGACGCCCATGACATCAATATTATTTGAGCAGAGGTGCTCTTTCTGTCGTAAACATTCTGTTGTCCTTGTTGATTGTTAATGGTACCTGTAACGAATACACTCAGAGGTCGCCCAAGGGTCAGCGGGGTGTCAAAGGTGACCTACTGAACATTTACGGTTGTAATTGGAGGTGGGTAAGTGCACAAAGTTTCAGCTCAGTGGGTCATCAGGGCTGGAGGTGGGTAAGTGCACAAAGTTTCAGCTCAGTGGGTCATCAGGGCTGGAGGTGGGTAAGTGCACAAAGTTTCAGCTCAATGGGTCATCAGGGCTGGAGGTGGGTAAGTGCACAAATTTTCTTTTTGATAATGAATGTATCATTGCTATTCCCAAATGTTAATAATTTTTCTTTTAAATCGATGGTATCCCTTTTATTGATTTATTTAAGCGCAGATGTCATAACCGAACGCTTTATTAATCTCTTTGGTTTTTGTTATAAATGTGTTAACTTATACTTATATAAACGCATGTCATACGCAAAGCTCTATTGAAATCAATCTATTCCTGTGTATTACCTCTTATTAACTTATACAAATGTTATTTATCGAAACATGATATGTCACACACACCATTCAATGACAGCAAATCATTCTTTAATAAAAGTAACTTAAGCACATTTCCATCTGTTCTTTTTGTATATCTATGTAAACGCAATTGAAACCGTAGAAAGTTTTTTTTTTTTTTTTTTTTTTTTTTTTTTTTTTTTTTTTTTTCAAAATTCATCAAATATGAAAACACAAAAAAAGTCTCGAGACAACGCTTCTATATTTAAAAAAAATAAAACTCATATTTCCATTAAATGAGTACAATGGAGAACTCAGGATTTCACTTTAGGTTTTATAGAAATCCTAGCAGATGCAGCTTGTTGTTATAGCGTTTTCTTGGGCAATAAAATATGATTAAGCTCCACTTTGCCAGAGTAAAATTTCGTAAGGGTTCGAAGCATACAAGGATGTTTCAGCTGGTTAGGAGGGTCACTGGGTAAAACTAGTTTTATAGGTAACCGTGGACTGATAGGAAAATTAAGTCCATTCATCTATCCATCTATCCGTATATCCATATGTGTATTCAATTATTAGAATAAATATCTATGAGTCTATTCATCCATTTATTCATATTTGCATCCGTATATCCATATGTGTATACATTTATTAGAATAAACATCTATGAGTCTTTCCATCTTTGTACCGTTTCTTTTTTATTTCAGTTAGCTCTCTCCATTTTAAATTTTTTTTACACATTCTTCCAATTTGCTGTTCTTCTTTTTTTTTTTTTTAAATGTAATTTTTGAAATACAACATAGTTTTTAAAAAATAATATTTTCCCTTTTTATTGGGGGAGCAAGAACTAGTTAACAGTTTCGTTGTGATTGGTGTTTGGGGGGTAGGGGAGGGGTGAGTAGAAGGGGTTGGGTAATACTGGTTACAATTCTTAGTTTAAAATAAAGATGACTGAACCGTGCATTTCAAACATTTTAAATTTAGTTGAGTTATCTCCCTTTCTTGAGAGTGTCATAATGACACACACAGACACACACAGCCCCCCCACCCCCCCACCCCCCCACCCAGGCTTGAGAAAATGTAGCCATCTTTCTAAAGTAAATGTCTTTCTATTCAGACATCTGTACACTCTACCTGTGCCATCTATTACTTGACACAAAAATTTGTAACGAGCAAGTGATTCCTTGTATTTGTCTTTCTTGAACTAAAGATTTTCGTACAGATGATTATGTGGATATGTATCCATAAAATAATGAAATAGCAATTCGCTACATTAGAAAGCTTTTCTGGTTCTGGTAGTGTTTCGTTGCTGCATCCGTGTACTGGCATCTTTGCAACGATTCGGGGTATGATGTTGCTATTCTGACAGCTTTTTGTGTACAAAGCGCAAAAAGTGATACATATATTTAAGTTTAATGAAATATCTAATTGGTATTTGTTTCAAATACTTTGAGAACCTCTGTCTTAAATAATTGCAATACTTTCACTATTTTATAAAGGTTTTATAAAGCTATTTGCAAAGGTTTCACGCTAGCCAGTCCACATTTATTATTTTTACATTTCACGTGCAGAGTTTTGTATTCTAAATATGTGATATCGCATTGTGTTCCAATATTTAGGTTAAAGATTGTTGATTTCTTATCTAGAGTCATGACGTCTCTCTAGTTGCTATAATTAGTCGTTAAACAGGATTTTCGCGTCACACAAGGTATCGAAGTAAAACATTCTTCAAATTACACAATCTCTAATTCCCTTACATGGATTTAAAACTGTGATGCTCGAATAAGTGTTATAATGACAGAGTTTCATCATAAAAAGTGTCAAGTTTCATATGATCTTTGTAATAGGTTAAATCATATCAAAGAAATTAATCTTCTTTACATAGCCATCAAATGCTGATCAGTCTCTGATATTGATAAAATATGAACATCCCAAAATATTCCAGAACAAATAGCAGAGCCAATTAATTCCACAATTTTACCACAATTATAGCATCCAATAATATAAAGATACAAATATTGCCATTTACATATTAGATATATAAGACTACAAATAAAATTCAACATTTCCTATGAGAGTACAAATCGATTGGCTAACATAAGTGACGTCACGGAAGTTGGTGTGCGGTGACTCAAGGGTTTTCCCCCCCTTCACACTTCACCTACAGTCCACTTGCGAGTATTCTTGCACTGGTGGCATTCTGTTCTGGTGGCATTTGTTATGGCTGCATCCCGTTCTGGTTGCAAATTATTCTGGTGGCGACCTATTCTGGTGGCATCTGTTTTCGTGACATCCTGTTCTGATGGAAAACAGTTCTGATGGCAACCTGTTCTGATGGGAACCTTTTCTGATGGCAACATGTTCTGGTGGCAACCTGTTCTGATGTCAACCTGTTCTGTCGGAAACCTGCTCTTTTGGCATCCTGTTACAGTGGCAACCTGTTCTGGTGGCATCTTGTTCTGGTGGCAACCTGTTCTGGTGGTAACCTGCTCTGGTGGCAACCTGTTCTGATGGCAACCTGTTCTGATGGCAACCTGTTCTGATGGCAACCTGTTCTGATGGCAACCTGTTCTTTTGGCATCCTGTTCTTTTGGCATCCTGTTCTGTTGGCATCCTGTTCTGGTGGCAACCTATTCTGGTGGCAACCAATTCTGATGGCAACCAATTCTGATGGCAACATGTTCTCATGACAACCTGTTCTTTTGGCATCCTGTTAGGGTGGCAACCTGTTCTGATGGCAACCTGTTCTGGTGGCAACCTGTTTTTTTGGCAACCTGTTTTTTTGGCAACCTTTTTTTTTGGCAACCTGTTCTGGTGGCAGCCTGTTCTGGTGGCTACCTGTTCTGGTGGCAACCTGTTCTGGTGGCAGCCTGTTCTGGTGGCAACCTGTTCTGGTGGCGACCTGTTTTGGTGGCAACCTGTTCTGGTGCAACCTGTTCTGCTGGCAGCCTGTTCTGGTGGCAGCCTGTTCTGGTGGCAGCCTGTTCTAATCGTACACTGCTATCACTTTAGAACGTAACCTCAACCGATTTCTGTTAAATTTATTCCTTAAAAAAAATTTAGTTTGGCGTTTTAATGATGTAACCCGTTATAGTTCTCCACCCTGTTACCCCAGCACCCCCTTCCAGCCCCATCTTCAGAAACCCCGCTAGCACTTACCGTTATTATATCTTAAAGTTTTTCTTAAGCTTTTTTGATGTTTGAACAACATTTTTTTTTTTAAAGTTTAGAATAATTGTCTTTTCCCATAAAAATTCGATTGGTCATAAAATTGTGCCTGCAGAAGAAACACAATGATAACCATTGCATAAAGTGTGTATGTGTGTGACCTACAGATATGTCGACCTTATAAACCTACTCACCGGACAAACACTTCACATCGCTACTCTTAGTTTCTGTGGATTTAACTTCCTGTTTGGGTAGAGCTTTGTTAACTATTACAATCATCGCAGTGGTGGGCCATTTTAACTTAGAGCGTTAACACTAAATAATCAATTAAACAAGCTTAAAATACAGCAAATCAAAAAAAATTGAAATAATTCTTTAAATCCCTGTATTTGTAAAATAGATATTCTATTTAAACTTTGAACATTAAGCCTGTGTGTGTATGTGTTTTAACAGCAGAGAATACTAGAACGAGCAGCTTACAGATATGTTAAATTTCTATTCAAACGGCAAAGGTTTTGGATGTTACGTTATTATATTTTGTGTATTCTCAGGTGAGCCTTGTTTATTTATATTAACTTCTGTATCATCATCATCATTATCTGTGTATATTTGAATGAAAATGTACACTTTATCTTTATAATATTCCTTCGCTATCTCTCTCGATATCTATCTATTTCTCTCTTTCTCTCTCCCAATATTCATTTCTTCTTCTTTCTCTCCGTATCAACACTATACACGCTTTTTAAACATTTTTTTCTCCTTTGATTCAGATTCTCTCCACCCCTTTCCTCTTCCTCTTCCATTCTATATCTTTCGTTTCACTTTATTTCGCGTCATTGTTTATCCTCATCTATTTTAATAGGTGTCTATTTATTAAATCTTCAAGCTAGTTCGACTTAAATAGGAAGTTTATGTGTGTGTGTGTGTGTAGTGGGGATGGTGGTGTAAATGATGATAAACTCTCGACGCCAACGTCTTCATTTTTTTTAAAAAAGAATTCCCCCTGACCTAATTGAGTCTGCTCTGATGACACCCTGCTCTCTCTTAATACCCTGTTCTGATGGAAACCTCTGACAGCCTGTTCTGATGGAAACCTCTGACAACCTGTTCTGAGCGAAACCTCTGACAACCTGTTCTGAGGGAAACCTCTGACAACCTGTTCTGAGGGAAACCTCTGACAACCTGTTCTGAGGGAAACCTCTGACAACCTGTTCCGAGGGAAACCTCTGACAACCTGTTCTGAGGGAAACCTCTGACAACCTGTCCTCGTGGCTACCCGCTATGGTGTTAGCCCGATCTTGCGGTACTCCGAACTGGTGTCAGTCTACTCATGTAATTAACTGAAATCTGTTTTTAAAACGGTCTCGTGCCAACAATGTCAAATTTAAAAATTCTCCATTCAGTGTCAACCCCTTGTGAGGAGGTCATCCGGTACAGTCAGCACACTTTGGCCCGCTAATGCTGAAATACTTTGTGACCATTTGAATATGGAACTTACAATTTTTTCTGAGCTTTTTTAGGATCGCCTTTAATGGAAATTTTAGATTGTGCAAAAATTTCGTTTTTATTTACAGATTCCTTTGGGTCTTTTGATGAGTAGCTAATTTAAAGCTAAAGTCAAAGTTTAGGAAATTATACTTCCAATTCTTTTTCAGATACAAATTTCATGTAATTATTATGCACTGTGTAAAGTGTATGAGAATCTCCTGTCTTGTAAATACATATAATCTAAGTGTCTGAAAGTTTTGATGTTAGAGTTTTGTAACAAGAAATTGAATGCATCGCATCACTTTAGTTAGCCAATCCAATGCCATATAGTAAGTCTGTTTGAGCGATATAGAAGTAGGCTACTATTACTAAGTACCTATCCATAATCCTAATTAAAAGTAGATGTGAGATTATTGGATCAAGTTACTCAATTTGTTATATTAATGAAGAAAAAATATGTTTCATTTGCATATTAACACCATTACATAAAACATTATTACATCTTCATTACAGAGTTGTGCTAATCACTGTAGGGAATACTATTTTTGTGTAACATTAGTTTGGGGTGGGGAAGGCGCTATGGATGGGCTTATAGTGGCAATGGGGCGGTGGCCTAAAAAGTTTGAGAAACACTGATGCAACTTTAATGTAAAGTTAAATAAGTTTATTTACTGCTAACGTTTATTGCTGTATATTTTAAATAAACAGTGGAATAAGATAGACATTATAATTTAACGGTGATATTCGACGTACCGAAGCGCCTTAATTCAATATTTACACAAGATTTTGACACATGTATGTCAAACAAACGTTATGTTATGTTGGTTCGTCTATAGAAATTGATCAAGTCCATTTCAATCATAGGATCCTTGCCTGGTTCTGCTTCTATCTGTGGTATGCGCTGTGCACAGATGGCTGATGAGACCAATTCTGACACAAAATATTCTTGTACAGTAGGTTAAAGTGATGGACGGGTCATCTCCAAGTACAGAATTAAACCGGAATTTTCTGGAATGCCTTTTTTGCGGTGCAGCTGTTGCTCTGTTGGCTGCATGTTTAATGGGTAAAGAGGAATACAACGTGTTACGCACTGCCTTCTATTGTGAGAACTTAATCTCTTATTTTAATTTAATGGCTCGTTCAAACAGTGCCTAAGAAAGGATGATACTATAGAGAAATACAATAGCAAAAATACGACACTCAAAACAGTACTAAATACAATTAATAAAATTTATTTAAGTATTTATATAATTATATAACAAAATAAATATAATTACAAATCATCATTTTACAGAGTATTGGAATGTCTTGTACCGGTACACAGTTAGTACAATGTGCCAATTAATAAAATACAATGATGAATGCGAATAAACACATTTGAGTACACAAAGAATAATACACTTGTCTCGTAAAGTTAAAAATATATATCAATCAATCTCTCTATCAATCTCCATGAATCTCTGTCCCTGTCAATCCCTTATATAATGAACAGTAAGAAGCTTTCCTGAAACGTCTAAGACATTGTTTACGTTTCTCGTCAAATCGAGAACGTTCCACAAGATACTAGGAGACAGACTAATCATGTTTAATTGGTAGTTGACAGTAAACACGCTAAGATGAAAGGGACAGGCCACGCCAACCGCGAACGCAGTCGTCTTCTAGATTGGGTTATACAGAGTTCACGGCACAAGGAAAATGTCATAAACATGTCATAAATAACAAACAATAATGGATCATTGCCAAATCATCCCGTGTGTGCGTGTTTATATCTAACGCTTTCATTATTGCCTTAGAGTTTGTTTAAAGCATTTCCTCTGTACCCAAGCAAACTGCATTAAAATGTTATCTTGGGCACTCGATCGACTGACATCCTCAAAGCATGCGACATGCGAATCTAGGACGGCAATAAAACGTAAAGATGCCGGAGAGACGTGTCTCTCAGATGCTGCACTGCCATTTGATGATGAGGAATTTTAAGAGGATTGTCGTGTAGTTACTTTTTCTTGTATGGCGTTGAGAGACCGTCCATGTTTCACAGGCTTGTAGAAGTGTAGGGAACACAAGTGCCTTTTAGTCATTTATCTTAGTTTGAGTGTTGACACCTTTCACGGTCCATGTATTCTTAGACATTTTGCGCTAGGTTGCACTTGCTTAAGTACAACACGTACTTAAATAGAGGTATACCAGGTCTGCATTTCAGAAATTTTAACCGGATTTTAATTATCGCTTTTAAAAGATATAACAAAACTGAAATCTACCTAATTTGTTTAACCAAGGTCATTTACTCTTGAAGGAACGACTGGATGAGGATTTGTATCTAGACAGCATTAACATTATATTTTTTTCAAACTCTTTGTTTATTCGAAGTCAATTAAAATTAGACCAATATAGTAGTTAGAAATATAATTTTATTTATCAAGTATTGTTAAATGCTCAATGAAAGTCATGTAAGTGTTGAAATGATCGGTTATTCATAACTTGTCCTTTTGTTATCTGTTTCAGTGTCAAAGTCTGCAAATGTTGAAAAATGGGTTAGATATTCATTTAGCCAAAGTGGTGAGATGCAATATCGTTATAATAAAAACAATTCATGCCCCCAAGAAGGATATGGACAAAGTACACACGTATACAGCATAAACATTCCGGTAAATTTTCAGGTAATTAAAAAAATATTTACATTTTGAAGTTTGTTTCGTCTTGACCTCCTAAAATTGAAATATTCTTAAACAGAACTTGAGTTCCGTTGTTTTAAACAAATGTTCTAGTTCCATTTTAAGTCAAAGACAGTAAACGGTAAAAATTACCATGCTGTATAAAAAATTGTATCATTAACTTCCAATTTAGTCTTCGCCAACACAGTCACTGTCTTGTGCTGTTATTAGAGCTGCTACATATCCATATATAAGAAGCAATTTTTATCGAAGATGTTTCCAAATTAACTATAGAAATTATTGATTTGCTATATAAAAACAAAGTTGTCTCGCAATGGGACAAGATGGATAACCAAAGTCAAACAAAAAGAAAGTGGGGAGGACGATTTTTATAGTTATTTTATGTGCAAGAGAAATATAATAAAAACCAACCCTTACAAAACAAGGTTTTGCGTATAAATCTTTTTTTATGCATTTTGTTCTTCATTTTTTTGTTTGTAACTATTTATTCAATGGTAAGGTTTTACCCGAAAATTGTTTTCTTCATTTTTGTGCGACTTAGCGACGGATGCTCTTCTCACATTTCCTTCATCTTCCTTGTTTTGGGGGATTGTGGGTAGGGGTGGGGCTGAAAATTTGAGAGATTGTGTTTTCATTTGCCATGTGCCAAGTTCAAGCTTGATAGGATGATGGCAAGTGGGTCAGTTACCATTATAGGAGAATTTATCACAAATAATGAAACATAAGAATAAAAGCCAAGTTAATATAAAGGGTTTAATAATTAATGAGTGACCGGAAAACAAACATACGAACTAGTTTAAAAAACCGAAAGATGGTAGAGTAACAAGATTACGATTTACCTGGGAATATTTTTGAAAGTTCTGCTGAAGCAGGAAGCAGACCTGATTTATGAATGAGTCATTTATGCTTTTTGCTACTAGTAGACTGACATGCTGGGTAAAGTTATTCCCACAGAAACAGCAACAGATTAAGAGATTAACTTTTTCTAAAAATTCTTCACTAGATGAAGAGAATAAAAGTAAAGCAACACTTTTAAGACCGGTAATATCAAACGTTTTTGTAGTAAGAATAATACATTTTGCAGAAGTGAATGGTGGGGAGCAATGATGGGGAGTCATAATGGGGAGCCATGTTGTGGAGCAATGATGGGGAGTCATAATGGGGAGCCATGTTGTGGAGCAATGATGGGGAGTCATAATGGGGAGCCATGTTGTGGAGCAATGATGGGGAGTCATAATGGGGAGCCATGTTGTGGAGCAATGATGGGGAGTCATATTTGGGAATCATCAATAGGCACTTGAGACACACTGCACGAATAAGACAGAAAGCAATCTCATTGACTGAACTGAGTTTATCAACGACATATTGGTATTTAATATTATTTACTAGACTAGTGAAGATAATCGATAGATCGGTGCAAGTGATTACTCAAGTGAAGGTATATAACACAAGTCAAAAATTTGTCACTTGTAAAGCATTTTTAAACAATCATTTCTTAGCGATGTTCTTTCCGTTAGCTGATGCATCTGGGTGCTGTCCGTGGCGGACAGGGGTAGATAGTACTTAGGTGGGTGAGGTCAAGTTTTTTTACCAATTGTTGTTTTTAAATGTATAATTTTCTGTCATTGTTAGTTTTTATGTGAAGTGCAGTGGGCCTAGCCACAGGGGGTACTGCGCTATATAAAACCACCTTAATAATAATAATAATAGTAATAATAAATAAAGCACACAGTAAACCAAAGCTAAATCATGTAGGGGCTTAGGTAGAGTTGGGTGGATTGGGCAGTAGACCCCGGACCAGCAATATTTTCTTTATGTCATTTTCGGCAAGTTGGGTAATTAATCATGGAGGGGGCGGCAAAAATGTTCGTCAACCCAGGGTGGCCCATATCCACGCTAGGTAACCTAAGCGAAAAAGTCTACGTTTTTTAAAATCTCCATTATAAAATAAATCCTTGTTAGTTTTGCAAGTTAAAATCTTTTATGAACAATATTTACTTCAATACAAAAAAAAAAAAAAAAAAAAAAAAAAAAAAAAAAAAAAAAAAAACAACACAACAAAAAAAAAAGACAAATTATTTGAGATATACAATTTTACGTTTTTATAAAACGTGTATGGGTACAATCTATATTTTTGAAAATCTGATAGCTATTCCCTTTTGAAGTGTGTGTACTAGTATTCTCGTGTAGGTTCTTCTTTGACTCTTATACAAGTTTTAAAAAATCAAAAAGTTTTCCACTGCCTCGGAACCCTTTTATTGCTGATTAATATGTACCTAAGAATGTTTTAAAAGCATAAATTCTATATATTAATTTGTTAAATATTATATATCATTTTAAAAATATTAATAATGGTATTAATAAATACAATATCTAAAAAAGATTTAATCATCCTTAAATTTTCAGGGACATTGCACACGTGAATATATTGAATTAAAAAACACCAACAGTCCGCGTAAAGATCTCATAGACAAGGTCACGATAGATTGCAATGGAAGAGATGAGTGCAATTCGTCATACAGTGGACTGACCGTACCTAGGCCTAATTGTTCAAAGACTATTGCCGATGAGTACATCGACATTGCTTTCATGTGTAAACCAACTAGTAAGTAATCCGCACTTACCTGTTAATTTTTTTTTCTCCAAAAAGTACACATCTGCAGCCATTACACGAATCTGTTCAACTGTCAAACTAAATCTATAGTTCATTTCAATAACTGCTAGCTCATTAAGTTAAAAATTCATTGCCGAAAATACATTGTATAAAAACTGAAAACACAACAGGTACATCGCAGAGAACTCATATTTAATGATAGTGAATTAAATAAATTATAAAAAAAGGAATAAGATGGTATTTACAAATAACAAATAAGAGACGTCAATAAATTGAGATAGTGGGATTCCGTTTACTATGACCCATTTTGTTTAACCAATATTGTTTGTTAGCACCCACTTTGCGGCCCACAAGGTAACGAAATGTTCTTTTAGACTATTCTGTAGGTACGCCCATGTCGAAGGACCTTGGGAAAAACGATTGAACGTATGCAACGATTATAATAATTATTATTTTAAAAAAAATATATATGTATAAAGGAAACTGACATACGAGTTTGTGTTTTTTCTGAAGTAAATAGTAATATATGTATATATAAATCAGTACAAAACTCTGTCTCTCTTTTTGTTTCGTATCGTTATAGCTCAATCCCTCTAGCTCAGGGGTCGGGAACCTATGGTTCGCGAGCCAGATGTGGCTCTATTGATGGCTGCATCTGGCTCGCAGACAAACGTTTGATTATAAAAAAAAAAAAATGTTTCATTAGACTCATCTGATCTACATATTAATGGCATATTACATTTCATTCTACAAATTTTCTACAATTTTTAGTTTTAAACATAATGTATGGCTCTAACAGAATTACTTTTCAAAATATGTGGTGTCCATGGCTCTCTCAGACAAAAATGCTCCCGACCCCTGCTCTAGCTGATGCCGCTCCCTATTTCGATCGGTTTATATATAGTCTTTCATAGAGACTCTTCCAAAAAGGGGTTCGGCATTCTTACTGCACCTCGACCTGTCTCGTAAGTTCTAAAGAATTGTAATTCTAAAGACGATAGCCTGTGTTTACGTGTAGTCGGTGTCAAGGGAGACAATTTGTAATTAAAGCACATCCATCGTCACCGAACCTGGGTGTTGTGAGCTAGTTTGTTGTGAATGTTGGGTGGGGGGAGTCGTGAATCGTGAGAGTGTTTTGTGAGTTGTTGATCGTGGGGTCAGAGCGCGAAGTTAGTCCGTGGTGTGGAACGTTTGCGTAGGCTGAGTTGTTTGTGTGGTATTATAAAAGGGAAGTGTGTTAGCGAGAGGTCAGAGGTCAGAGAAGAAAGTCAGACAGAGAGAGAAGAAAGGTAGGGGAGCAAGAGAATGGTTAGTCGTCGAAAGTTGTCAGTTAGGATTTAGTCAGTAGCGATAGGAGCGAGTGGATTATTGGTCGTCGGACTGATGTGTATCCTGTTTTGTAAAGAATCTAATAAATATTATATATTGTTACACTGGACCTTTGTGTTTTATGTGAGAGATTCATACACCCTGGACAAAGCAAGAGGGCCGTTACATTTCAAGTATAACAAAGGCCGTAACACTGTGATGAACCAGAGTTCATGCACAGGTTTCACGATGTAAACAAGATGCCTACCGTAACAAATCGGTGTTTTGTTTTGGCTTTGCGCTTCTCTCATCCGTCCTATTGCCGGCTCTAACTTTACTTGTGGAATAAGAGCAAGTGGTCTATCGCTGCGTTAGAGGCTAGTAAAGATAGCGATGCAAATACATTTTAAAACAATTTCACAAATAATCAGTTGGATTTGTCTTTTAAATAAAATGTGTTTAGATAGTCATACAGAGGGAACAAAAGGGGGGGGGGCTTTGTTATGCGGAGAGCATTACCCTAGAAAGGTAATACAATTTGTCATGTTCACTGTCTTCAAAATAACAACGAACGTAACACAATAAATGGTTTTACTACTCTTGACTTAAAACTTATGCGACATATAAATCATATTTAAATTTTTTTTTGTGGTTGATACAATATATTTAAAATGTCTTGCTTAGAATATGTATTTATTTATTCTTTCTTGTACCATTATACAAATCAACACTATCAGACCGATGAGTTCATTGTGCTCGTGTACTGTATCGTCTACCATATGAATAATGTGTACACGAAAGAGTGATAACTGAATGTTATGACTTGAACATTAGTATCTAACAATCAAAACAGGATGAAACAATCTTTTCATTGACGATGACGGTAGAAAAAAGTGCACTGACATTTGTAAAGTGGTTGGTCCTCTGTTTGATTTCCTGATCATTATAATGTTATTGTAAACCATGACTGTATTTCAGTTAATGAACATTTTATTGCATTTCAGATATTGACAATATCACGGTGTTCAATATCGGACTAGACCTAGATTTTAAACTACTTAAGAGAAATGGATCGTATTACCTGGTGTTACGCTTACAAGACAATAAACACACTCACCGCCATTGTAAAATCGATGGATGCCAATCTGGTATTAAAGTTACAGTGCTGCACGTGGACTTTAGACCCAACTCAGAATCTAATAAAATCAACTCACATTCGTTGCAAAAATGCCATGAAAACATGACGTTAGTTTCTAAAGACAGTCAGACATGTAATTATAAGTGGTAAGCTTTTCATAATTTTTTAATTAAAAGCACGTTGAGAATGGTGTAATTTAAAGTTAAAAATGTCATATCTAAGGTTAAGATAATCTGTTTGAATTAACACAGCTATTATCACACCTTATTCTTCGGGATCTGCTAATTTTACAATCATTGCTATCGTGACCTGCACTAACACACCAAACTGGGTGAATTCGGAGACGAAGCTTATCCAGACTTATGGAACCTTGACACCCCATGGCATAAACGTCATGTTCTTATTAACCTGTAAAACCTTTTCTCCACCCTTCCTCGTTTCGACCAATAGCAGTGGACTTACTTTTCCTCTCTTCTTTCCATTTTTCCAGTTTTGCCTGTATTTAATTTTTCACCTACTCATTTTGTGACACTTTCCTCTTGCTGTCCTGTCAGATAGTACATTTCAGCTGTTTTTTTTTCTTTGGCTTCTTGCCGACACGTTCGTTGTTGTTGTTTTTTTGCGTTCCTTTTTCAGGTTGTCCATGCTTTGTTTCGCTCACTTCTATGATTACCTGTTGTTTGTTTGTTTTTTTAATATGTAAACGCTTTAGATATAGTGGATAATAACGGCGTACAGAGTAGTGCGCTACTTTAGATCCTAGAGAAGCTCTTGAGTTTCTTGAAAAGAAATATATATGTAAATATTATTTTTTTAACTACGATACATTTATTTCATCCACTAGTGATATTCCGTCCGTACGCTAATATGATATTCCAAATAACAAGTTTGGTAAATTACTTATATTATATGATTCGATGTTACTTTATATTTTAAATACTTTAAAAAAAAAAAAGCAATGTAAAGTAATAGAACGAAAAGCATTACAGTATTTTATGAATTTGTAGATATAGAAATAATATTGCGAATAACCAAAATATATTATTTTATTTTAATGCCATTTCTTTTGTTTGTGGGTATCTATATATATAAAATATAATCGTTTGAACTGGAATTTAGTTATGAAAAGCTTCAGTATTAAATGAAGCAGCCCAATTATTTTAACTTACAGGAAATAAGTAAATAGCGATAAAGTGAAAATGATAGAGTTTACTACAGGAGAGGATGGGTTTTAGTGGAAGCTTGTAAACGATAGTAAAGGGTAAAGCAATAGAACTGAGGTGTGGAGGTGTAGTGTGGTGAAGGGTGATGTGTGTTCAATGGTGGAGTTAAAGGAAGGAGGAAGAACAACAATCTAAACTCCAGATTGTTCAAGATTATGTCATTTGAACAACACTCTCAATGGCTTAATACTCTAGTACAACGATAAAGATATACCAAAATACGACCTCTTCTTTAGCTTCATGAAAATATGTTTCTCATCTCAGGAATTCATCTCTTACATTTCAAATTATGAAATGCGAAGCTAAACATATAGATATTGACATTTATATGTCAACAGGATTTGTCTGGATAGAAATTGAAGGTAATTTATGGATTTATTATAATTATTTTTTTAAAGTATTGAATGTTATCATTTTCACGTTTCAAAATAACTTTTGGTAGATTTGTTAAATTTCAAATGAATCACGAAATGACACTTATTTCAGAATTCATTCTAATACTTTTGAATTATTGCTTTCACCAAAATATTTCTAAAAATTATAGTTAGAGACTTAATCGTCCCTACATTTAGATTACATTCAAAACGTTTTTTTTTAGTATCTCGTGAATTAGTGGGCGATAAATTATAATGTTTTATTTCGTCTTAGAAACATAAGAAAAATGCGAAATTATACATGTATTTATGAAAAGTAATGCTTCTAAAACTGCGTGCAATTCGTGCAGGTGGCAAAGACTTCAAACTAAACTGTAGCGGATCAAATAGTAACAATCATGTCACAAGTCACAGGCCTTCTTCAGGTAAGAAAATCTGTTTTTTAAAGAGTATATTTAAAACTTTTTTTTTTCCTTTTAACTTTTCTTTTTAAACGTACAAATCTACTCCGTGCCTCGTTTTAATGTTCTTTATAAAAATATCTATTTACAGAAAAAAATGTGTCGGTTTAATTTCTAATAAAAGAGAGAGCTGAAATGTTGTAATGATGTGTAATGATTTGTAATGATAATATGATGTGTAATGATGTAGTGATTAAAGGAATCTATAAAATTTGCAGATTAAATGTTCTGATGTTTCACAATGTATATATATACCAATTCCACTGTTCTTACAGAAATGAGCCACTCACCTATAACCAAACCAACGGTAACTATAGGTAACGGATCAAATACAGCCAAAAGTAAACCCGTTAAATACATTTTAAAAAATTACATATTTAGAAAAAAAAAATCCTTAACTCATTTAAACTTCCAAAAAGTTGTAAACATGCTCACATTCAATAGCTGCTTTAAACTTTAATTTTGTCCATATTTATTGATGTTTATTATTATTTTGAGTTCTAATGATTCAAAGAAAACAACGCGTTTCTCATAATAAATAGCCTACAACCCAACTGTTCTTACCGACACGACACATTCTACAACAACCAAAATATCGGTTACTAGTGATAATGGATCAAATACAAACAACATATCTGTTACTAATGGAAATGGATCAAACACAAATGCAACGATTGGTAAACCCGGTACATTTTTCTTCATACTGATTAGAAAAAAAATGCTGCACTTATTTTTTCTTCAAATAACTCAGTTTATTTTTTTTTAAAATCACACCGCTAAAGGAACGCTTGAATATTATTTATATAGATCACAATTTTGTGTGTGGCTTTCTTTCATATGTGCGCGCTTTGCAGGCCAGACAACCCTGGCTTTCATTTTGTTGATTTTATGTTCAAGCAAATACTGTTTTAAATAAGTGTTATTAGATAATAAAATAACCTCTAATAAAAGACGGCTAGATTGGAGATTAATTGTTTTTAAATTATCTAATAACACCTATTTAAAACAGTATTTGCTTGAACATACTGTTTTAAATAATGTATAATATAATAAAATATTCTCTAATAATGAAGGCTTGATTGAGACATTTGTAGATTTATACACATGACCTCGCCTGTCTGTATGACACTTACTAAGAAGCTTTAACAAAATATTTCTGACATTAAAAAACACAGACAGTTGAGAACACAGAGGGATTTACATTTAAACTTACATTTCACAGGCTTTGCCCATTACATAGGAATTAACAATAACCTTTATGTCATCTGTTTATATCAGTTGTACAAAAACACCTTTAAACAACTTTTAAAAAAATGACACCCCTTTGGAGTAAGTTATTTTCAATTACTTCCGATTAAGTCAGTTATTTTCTATTACTTCCGAGAACACAAAACCAAAAACAATAAATATAATTTCCAAAAATTCAGTGAGCATCGTGAAGCTTTGCTAAAAACTGCGCAAGCTCATTTTAAATACTAGAATTTAAAAAAAAAAAAATTTATAATGACTTCAATATATATTTAAAAAGCCCTGTCGATGAAATATTAGTATGAAATAAGCTTCCTGAGATAGTCAAGAAACTTTCAAATTTCTATAGGCGTAAAGGACTTGAAATAACAAGGACTTTTTAAAGCAACCCAAATCGAGCCTCCAATCAACTTTTAGTTCAACCACGTCACTCAATGGCTGGGTGGCGTTTTTGAGTACATCAATCTCTGAAAAACTCGGTGTGTTACACAAGGAACTATTTCAGTTCATAGTTAATCTCCATTTTAAAGTACATCAATGAAAAGTTGTTCATTCGTTTGAGCTGATTAGATGCCACACACAATCAATATGTTGTTCTATTTTTTTACCGACATTTCACTGGTAAAGTTGTGTTACTGTTTACAAAGGCGCAAGAATTAAACAATGCAAAACTATAACAAAATATATATCGGTATTCATTTATGCGTAAATCTTTATTTTTAATTAACAGTATGTCTTAAATAGTTTTTAAAAAATCTCTAATTAAGATTTCAAATGTTCAGCCATGTATCTTTCTGGAATAAATTGTGTCTACAATATACTTGAGAAAAAAATCTTTTTATACTGCATGCGTTTCTGCATGGTTTATTGGATCTTGATCAAACTATGGATACATAGGAGTTACACTTAATTATCCATAAGGGAATACTGACGGGTTTTACATTTTTTTTTATTATCATTGCTCAGGGTTGGGGGGCTTAAATTTCTTTTTTTTAAAATTGTATTTGTGCTTTATTAATAAAATTACAATTGATGGATCGATCTTGACAGAACTGGGTACAAAGGCACTGAAAAATCTATATTGAAAAAACTGGAAAATTTTCCTTTCCATCTCATTGTATATACACAACTGTCGGGACCCAATATTTAAGATGGTGGGGGCCGCATGTGGCCCGAGGGCCGAGTGTGGTACACCACTACAATAAAGTTTCAAAGTTAGTACAGTGCCCTAGTCCCGCCCCATTTTACACACCCAGACTTTCATCAGAGAAACCTAATCTGGAAACATATTATTTCTTTTAAAATAGTCATCTATCGTTCACTCGTCAAGCGCGGATCCTGATAAAATATGACGTCACGGTTTTGGTTCTGTTCTTCCGTTCCAACATCCGATGTTTAAACGAGTATTGGTTGATTTCTTTTAATGAAAGATTTTTTTTTTTTCTTTTATTCACGTTTCCGAATCTACAAGGTAAGTCCCAGTGTATTTAAGATCTGAACCAGTTGTGCTCACTTGTTTCATTGTCCCTGTCTATTTCTGTTCAATCAATGTCTCGTTAAATAAAATACAAAGTTGTTTGCAGAAAACACACAGAAAGTAGATAGCCATTTAAACTAGATCTATGTGTAATGATGATACATTTAAACTAGATCTATGTGTAATGATGATACATTTAAACTAGATCTATGTGTAATGATGATACATTTAAACTAGATCTATGTGTAATGATGATACATTTAAACTAGATCTATGTGTAATGATGATACATTTAAACTAGATCTATGTGTAATGATGATACATTTAAACTAGATCTATGTGTAATGATGATACATTTAAACTAGATCTATGTGTAATGATGATACATTTAAACTAGATCTATGTGTAATGATGATACATTTAAACTAGATCTATGTGTAAAGATGATACATTAAAACTCGTCTGTACGACCTGGAGACCATGAACATGATTTGATGAGATTTGAATATTCATTTTAAGTAATACCTTTTTTTCAATCAGGTTTTATACTCCATATTTTAGCAACGCAAAAAAATGAACAAAAAATATTTTTAAAACGCATGATATTATTTTTTAGGTGAGTAAATAGGCCAATATAAAATTAAGGATTTTTAATGTAAAAATAAATTATTTGAACTCATTTTTTTTAAAAAATTAATTTTATTAATTAATAACTAGTTTATTTAAGATTGATCGTGCAAAGCTCTGCTCTACTTCCTTCTACGTTACCTGATTGCAGTCTCTTCCCCCTTATTTCGCAGATTCTTTTCTCATGTTGCGTGGGCTGGAAAAGTAAGAATCGTGTATCAATACTGGTTCGCAGACCAGCCCCTTGGCAAACACTATTGTGGCCTACATTGACTATTAAAAACATGGTGTACTGCTCAGTCAACCAAAAGATTTGTCTGAACTTTAACTCGGCCAGTGTTAAGATCCACAAAGAAATTCGACACTGTTTTTTTTTAAAGAGCAACTTATTGTGAACGCAAGATCTAATTGTAGCACTAAGACATAAAATAAAGTTCAATTTAATGAAAAAAAAACAATGCGGGGAAAAAATCCATGAAAATTTGTTCGCTTTTGTTTAAATTTGTTCTTACCACTGTTTTTTTTTTTGTTTGTTTTTTTTAAATTTTATTTTGTTATGATTGTGTTTGATTTCTTGATTAAAAAAAAAGTATATTCTTTACAATATTATCAACATTTAATTTTGCAATAAAATATATTTCTGTAGAACACATTTATTTTATTACCCTACTTTATACTTCTTAAAATATTATAGCATGAAGCATGTCTCATCATGGTAATCACGCATATCAAATGTCAGAAATTATGACATAAATCTAGCGGAGTTCTTCTCTTGTTGGCGATGGTGTGGATCTGATTAAGTCAAACATTTAATTTGCAAGGACCTATGAAAGGTAATCTGACAAGTATTTAGTACGATTGAATTTATTAACTTGCTTTTATTAACCATGAAAGAGTCCCTGGGGTTTGGGCTGGATTTGTTGATGAGATGTTTTTTTTTTAAATTACAACATTTGAATATTAGAACAGAACCACTTTTCGACAATGTCTGACCTTTCGCAAAGTTCGCTATTTTTATACGCTTTTCCTTAAATTACTCTGTATATATGTTGTGAAATAATGAACTCTAAAATTTGTCCTAATTCCTGAGCTCCACTTGACCTGAAACTTTGAACACTTGCCACCCCCGATGACAATACAACCCTAAATAATCAGTAGGTCAACAGTGACCTCCACTGACTCGCCAGGTCAAATCTGACGTCTCAGTTTTGACCCACTTCCTGATCTCAAATTGAGCTGAAACGTTGTACACTTTGATTAAAAAGTACACAATAAAACATTATTTAAAATTTAAAGCCCCTTCTTAGTCATGTGACTGTAAAACCTCTAAAGTTTTGGGGGAAAATTTTATTTTATACTTTTTAGTACATTTTTGGATGAAATTTTTTATTTTTTTTTAAACAAGTACTTTTTTATTACATAATTGTATTTTAAAGTGATGGCCAGTTTCTCACCCCTATGTCGTTGCTAAAACGATATTTTAATTACAGTGGCTCTGAACCACTTGATGCCTCAAGATATTCAGATTGTTTTGTACTGTAAAAACAAGGGGCCATCTTTCATTTTAAACTTAAATATTATTTACAGTGTTCGGGAAATTTTCTAATAATTACTACACATTGACTCCACTATGTTTACGATGACTCCACTATAGATACGGTGACTCATCTATAGGTACAGAAATTGACTTGATGCAGATGATGATCTGCGTGACCAACTTGTGAAGCCTGTCTCGAGATTTTATGATCTAGCCAGGGAGAAACAAGCATAAGCTTTTCAGTGACGCGTTTGTACTACAAGCAACATTTTTTTCTTTTTTTTTTTTTTCTTTTTTTTTGCTACTTCAAGGAAATTTTAGACTTCTTCGGTTTTTCCCTTTCTTTTTTAAAGCTTATTAAACTTTAAAGTTGGCAGCTTACATTGATATTTTGTAACTTATACGCAAAATTTACGATTCATTCTTTAGAAGACGCACACAAAAACCGCTTAAATTGTTTTATTGTGAATAACAATGCTTTAATTATGAAATAAATAGTTATAAATTATAAAATATAATAAGTTATCTGTAGTCAATAAACTTTTTATTTTATTTCTAGGAATAATTATGGTAATGGTTCATCAAAACTCTGCAAATTTTATCAATGGTCTGCGGCACCGTAAAGGCTAAGAACCTCTGCTTTAAGAGGTGGAGGGGAAATTATAAAATTAATTAAGAACATTATCTTCTGACTTATCTTGCATTGATCTTAAGGCAAAAGTCAAAGATCTAGAAAGCAGATTTATCCTGACCAAATGTTATTATTATACACGTCTGTTATCTTCAGTTGGCTGTTTGCTTGAAACATTACGGTTTGGCCATTATTACAAAATGTTTGAGAATCTTGCATTATGGCTGAAAATATAAAATCACTGCAAAATTACTTGACTATGTGCACCGTTTATCTAACCATTGTAACATATGCTTCTTTGTATCTGCTGCTCTCTGCCTCGGTATAGTAATATCTGCTGTGAGTAAAGAGTTTGCCGTGTCACTGTGATTAGAGAGTACGCATTGTCACTGTGAGTAGAGAGTATGATGTGTCAGTGTAATTAGAGAGTACGCATTGACACTGTGAGTAGAGATTTTGCTGTGTCAATGTCATTAGAGAGTACGCATTGTCACTGTGAGTAGAGAGTTTGCCGTGTCAATGTGATTAGAGAGTACGCATTGTCACTGTGAGTAGAGAGTTTGCCGTGTCAATGTGATTAGAGAGTACGCATTGTCACTGTGAGTAGAGAGTTTGCTGTGTCAATGTGATTAGAGAGTACGCATTGTCACTGTGAGTAGAGAGTTTGCTGTGTCAATGTGATTAGAGAGTACGCATTGTCACTGTGAGTAGAGAGTTTGATGTGTCAATGTGATTAGAGAGTACGCATTGTCACTGTGAGTAGAGAGTTTGCTGTGTCACGGTGTGCTGAAACAATAAGTCTGTTCATCCACAGATAGGGAGCCATTTGATTATGTCTACAACATC